TAGGTACTTTGTGTATTTACGTCTTTATCATCTTTTTCCTAGTGTCATAAATACAATCACTTTTTAACGTTTAGGTAGATACACTTCCAGGTAAGTAAAATTGACTTGACTTTGGATCCTACTCCAGTGTATGGATTTGTTTTGATGCAGCTCATACTTTATCATTTGTCCTGAGACTCTGAAACACCTTAGAAACAAATAGTATTAAATATAGTATTTTTTTGTTTTATATTTCAAAGTCTCTGTTAATTTTGGAAGAAATACCTGGTAACAAACATGACTGAGTTCTGGCTTATATCAGCTCCTGGGGAGAAGACATGTCAGCAAACATGGGAGAAACTGCACGCGGCAACTACAAAGAACAATAATCTTTCTGTTTCTTCAAAGTTCAACATTCCTGACTTAAAGGTAAAACTCTTACTTTCCAAAATAGTGTATGAATTTGTCATCAAGAGAAGGACCAGTTTTCTTTCCTTAGCATTTGGTAAAAATGAGGTACCAAGGTACCCAGATGAGAAGGGAATCCTCTCATCTCTAGCCACTGCCATGATTTAAGACATGTCTTGACCTTTCCAGTCTTCAGATTTTAGATAATGAGGAAATTGAGATTTTAGAAGTAAGCTCTCAAAAGGAAGTAACACTTTTTGCTACTTAAAACTTCTTCGTGCTTTTTCTCAATTGTAATTTAAATTGTTAGGAGAAATTTTATGAAAATATTTGGTATATTATAAAATATTTGCAGAACTGAAAAATCTTAGCACTGTATTCTTAAAATACCACAGTGAATACATTTTTCTGTTAAATTTATATAATGCTCACTAATGTTGTAAAAGGAAACCCTGGTGGTGTAGTGGTTAAGAGCTATGGCTGCTAACCAAAAGGTCAGCAGTTCAAAATCCACCAGGTGCTCCTTGGAAACCCTGTGGGGCAGTTCTGCTCTGTCCTGTAGGGTTGCTGTGAGTCGGAATCGACTTGACAGCAGCTGGTTTTTTTTAAATGTTGTAAATGTTTTATGATAGCACCTATTTAATCATACTTGGCAAACCTAACCTAGTTATTTAATCTAATTAATGTGTTTAACATTATTAAAGATCAGTAACCTAGCAGCATTGAAGAGATGCAGGCTGCCAGTGATCAGTTGACTGAACTTTTCTAAAGAGTGGAAAAGATTACATTTTGCTAGTTAAGTGAAGCAGTCATAGGTAGCACTGATTTAAGAAATACTCGATTACTGGTTCTTAGTATTTTTTGGGTTATGGATTCCTTTGAGACATTGATAGAAACTGTGGACATTTCTTCCAAAACATGCACATTTACACATATACAGCTTTGCAGACAAATTCGATGT